AAAAATCATCTGGTCCTTAGCAGTTCTCAAAAGGAGGTAAATATAACCTCAGATGAACAACAACACATGACATATTACACCATGCCATCACCCACAGTAAGAATGGAACCTACTGTAGCAAAATTTGAGTTAAATACACAATGGTTCGACTTCATTATACAATAATACTGTTCCAGCTTACATACAAATTTGACTTAAAGACAGACCTTGGGAATGGAACTCATTCTTAAACTGGCGACTACCTGTAGTTTGTTGACTTATATCCCTCGCCAAGACAACAAATATGAAAACATGCTTGGTGGCAAAGCTAGGACATTTTTATTGTCCAGATTATTAATGGTTTAAAAATAAACAGAACATTCTGAACTTTTAAGTACTTATTTATTCTTCATAGCAATTCTTTTCCTTGAAACTTTTACAACTTTTTATATAAGAAAACAGTAAACAAGCATTTATGCAGAAATTCATTGATTTATTCAGGCGGAATCTTTTCTTCCACCCAACTAAGCAGGACCAGCTTTCACTGTGAGCAACAATAACTTTTCCAGGTTTAAAAGTGCAAACAGCCCAAACCCGAAATAAAGAGGTGTGGAAAACACATATTTCACAGCAAACTTAATGTAACATCTTAGCTTTTAAGCTCACTGACTTCAAGACAATAGTCAAAGGTATCTGTTTTTTATTTAATTAGTATTCTGCGTAAAACAAATTACAAGGACATTTTGGATGGTTTTACTTTATCATGCAGATGTGAGACTCCTGGTTCAAAAAACTTCTCAATAAAGTGGAATAATGCATCAGGAAACCCTTTTTCAGAATTTGTTCTGCTGCTTGCCCACTTATTTTATTCAGACTCCGCTGAAACGAGGGAGGTTTCCAGGTGGAGGCTTCTGAGTGCTTGTGATCAAACGACATTGTGCAGTAATTCTTTTTTCCCTTAAAAGGTTTTTCTTAGGGAAAAAAAGTCTAATTGGAAGAAATGGAGAGAACAAATGGTGCGTGGACCTTCATAAATTTCCATGAAGGAGATACTGTAGAGCTAATATGCAATAAAGACACTCTTGACATCCCCCATGAGAGCAGGCCCCTCTCCACGTCTCCTGTCAAAACACAGTGTGTGCTACCCTGTTCAGTGAGATAACATGCCTGCTGATTGTACACAGGAAGCTGGAGCCAGATTTAGCAACAGTTAAGTTCTGTTGATATCAATGGGTTTCCTTGAAATTAGCAAAATTTGGATCCCATCAACTGATTCTGAATTGACCCATTTCCTTTGGAAATACTCTACCTCTTCTCCAAGAATACTGACTTGTTTTCTTGCAGACTGTGTTTTCACCAAAAAGCTCATGAGATGTTAGCACAATAGTTCTTGAAAACATTACCTTTCTATAAGCACTGAGCATTAAGAACTTTTTTTTTTTTTACCTTACATTCTTCATCCAGCAAGTCCAAGATACCCAGCTTAGCTTCTATAAGGTCTATGCATGGCTGATTGTCAGAAAAATCGATGAGAGTCCAAGGAATTTGCTCCTTCATGTATTCGTCTTGTTCCAATTTAAAGACATGCTGTGGCAGAGAAAGATAGTAAAGATTTACCTGTACCTGGGAAGACTACTTCAATAAACCCCAAATAATCACTGGGGCCTAATTGGCTGTTTAAAAGCTTAGAACATACTGGATGCAGCTCATTCTCCAGACTGAACCTGTTTTTTTGAATTCAGGTTCCCATTCCTTCTTCTGGCATTTATAATCTTTTGCACATCACAGGCTATCTATACTACAAGCAATAAACAGCCAGCACAACTGGATTCAGGAAAATAAAACGAAATTCTGAGCCGTTTACGTGACTCAAAATATGAAATCTATTATTCTCTAAGGGTGCAAGAACATTTTTGGTTGAACTCTGATGCTTTTATGAGCTTGTGATAATTGCCAATCTAGAGGTATACTGAGATTTAAACACAACAACCTGAAAACAGGTTTTAAAACTTTACTTTCCTATGAAACAATGTTCCTTCACCTCAGGGGCATTTTACTAGAAGGATTCGTGGAATTTCCCATAGAAACTGAGGAAATAAAGGAAGCCATATCCAAAATAGCAGATTTCACATTAAATCCTGGTATTATTATTACTATTACTATTAGTCTTTCTATTCTTCTCTACTTACTACTACTATTACCTTTATAGCTATTACAGCTATTAATAATTTTCTGATTAATAATTCTTCCTTCCTGCCCTGAAATTCAGGGACTAAAGATGTACTGTCACACGCAGGTCGGTAAAATGAATTATATAACATTTCTACACTATCATCTGAATTCAGCCAAGCAACTCTCTGTATTCAAACATTTTGCCATACAAAATGTCATAAGTAAAGCATCTGAATCTACAGGTGGCACAAATTCAAAGGAAGAATAGTAGGAACATTTTGAATGATTAAAATGAGGTAGGGAAAACATGTCAAGCGATTCTTTCTAGTCCATTAATAATAGCTCTGCTTTGGGTCACATGACCAGGAGAGAGGCAGGAGGGGGGCTTAGAATGGAGGAGTCAGCAACGTTTGGAGCCCCGGCCCACCTGCCTCTCCTATAGGGATGCATGGGGGGATTTGGGGGGGGGTGATGTTTCTCTTCAGCCCCAAGCTTAATCCAGCCCATATTCAACCATCTTTCATTTGCTCGTATCTCTCTCCACACCAAATTTGATCCAGTTCAGTTCTATTTTCAGAGAGTTATTTATCCTGCTGACAGACAGCGTCCCAAGCTCTTTTACACCATTTCTTTCCAACTTTCCGGAAAGATGAGCCCAAAGAACTCCAATATAATCTCATCCGACTGGATGAATCAATAATCAAGATATGGCCAGTTACATTAAATAAATAAATACACAGCGGGATTTATTTATTTATCTTGCGCTGTTCCTAGCTAGATCTGGCCCATTTTTAAACCCCACCTTTCCTTTGCTTGGTTCTCCCCCCACACCAAATTGGAGAGCAAGTGTGAAGTAGTGGTTAAATTCTTAAAGCAGGACTGGGGAAACGCAGCTTCTAATCCACCCTCAGCCATGAAAGCTCAATGGGTGACTTTGGGTCTTTCGGCCCAACCTGCTCTACAGGTCGTTGTATATGGCTAAAACAAAGAGAGATTCTCATGTACACTACCCTGAGCTCCTGAAGAAAAGAAAGAATGTAAAACTAACAAATGATAATGTCAGGACTTAAAAGAGTAGGTCCCTAATACATTGTTAGGAAGGAAACTAGTGAGCAGTGTATTGGAATAAGCAAATATTTTTGTGATGGAATGGACTTATGAAGGCCAGGCTCAGGGAGATAAGCATGTTCTTAGCCCC